GAGTAAATTAACAGCACATTGTCATTTTTGGGTGAACTATGGCTTTAAGTTGCAGTGATTTGTCTCTGTGTCTTCAGCGCTCATCATTCCTCTGGTGGACCGTGATGAAGGGAAGGTGATCGCTCTGATTTTGGTGAATTCCGCTGTAATTTCACACACAATAGTGCTGTAATGATCTCTCTCTCTCTCTCACCTCTGAACCAATGATTCAGTGAATGTCGTGCGATTCCTCTCTTTGAATCATCTGAAATTCATTATAGCTCGTTATTTTTAATGCGCTGCCTAATGCTGCAGTTTTACAGGCGGCATTAGTCCAATTAAAGTGTTTATTTCTAATTGAGTGATAAAACTTTATGATTTTATGAGATCTTTGAGTGCAGGGGAGACGCTTTATTGCGAGTCATAAAAGAATCGATTGTGACGGATCGGACCGAGGACGTGTTGAGAGAGTCTTAGCAAGTTGGAAAATAGAAGATGGCAGGAAAATAGAGAAATGTCTCGTCCGTTTTGTTGTTTTGCACATAATGACACATCGTGCAAATTGTCTTGCAATCATTGCTCTGCTTGAAAATTGCAGCAGCAAAAATTGGGGTCAAATGTATTTTGTATTTTAATGTTTTTTTTGACTTGAATTTTAAAGTTTCAGTATTTTTAATAGTTTTTTTTATATGTCTATATATTCAAATTTCTTTTTGTTTATTTTAGTACTTCAGCTTACACTAAACGAAAATAAGAAATGTTGTCTTGCCAGCAAGCTGAAATTAAATAAGTGTAAGTTTTTTTTTTCCCCAGGTAATTTTAGTTGATGTTTATTGTATGTTTCTAATGGTTTTAGTTTATGTTAATAACCCTGCATTCAATCATAAATTCCAAGACAATTATTGTCAAAATCCAAAATATTTATATGTTTAATTAATAATAAATATATCATATTTATGTGGTGAAATATTCATAGTCATTTGTTAAAATGCATAATTTTCCACGTCTAGTTTAAAATTTGTGATTTAAAAGATTTAATTCTCTGAAAAGTTTGAGGTTGGTATGATTTTATCTGTTTGCTCACCAATGCTGCATTTATTTGATCAAAAATACAGTAAAAATGGTGAAATATTATTAGAATGTAAAACAGCTGTGTTCTCTGTGAATCTCTGTTAAACTGTAATGTATTTCTGTGATGCGCAGCTGTATTTTCAGCATCATTCCTCCAGTCTTCAGTGTCACATGATCTTCAGAAATCAGTATAATATGCTGATCTGCTGCTCGAGAAACATTTCTGATTATTATCAGTGTTGAACACAGTCGTGCTGCACAATATTTTTGTGGAAACTGTGATGCATTTTATTTTTCAGGATTCACAGATGAACAGAAAGTTCAGAAGAACAGCATTTATTTGAAATAGAAATCTTCTGTAACATTATAAATGTCTTTACTGTCACTTTTGATCAATTTAATGCATCCTCGAGGAATAAAAATATTAATTTCTTGCTTGTATACAGACAGCAAACGCTCTCTAGTTTGTAGTTTGACTTCATTTCAGTGTTTTAGTATCCGCTCTGTGAGATCAGTAGCCGCGTTCGTGGGAAATGTGTGTGAGTGTGTGTTGAGTGTCTCTCTGGGACTCTTGCAGACAGACGTGGGGTCAAAGGTCACAATGTGACCCCTAAAGCAAATGGAGCATTTCCCCAGAGAGAGAGAGAGAGCTGGCAGAAATAGAGCAGGGAAAAAAAACGTTTGCTGAAGGATGTAATGAATTATGTGATTTATTTGACTTGTGGTGTCTGTCGCTCTCTCAACAGCTCTGCTGTAAACCACTGACAGAAAAAGATGAACAAAACCTCAACATCCTGGAGAAACATGTAAGACACACACACCTACACACACACACACACACACACACACACACACACACACACACACTTACTCACTAACTCACACACACACACTCCTCACACTCATCCAGAGAGAAACACACATAAGGATGTCTTTGTTTTTAAAAAAATTTCCCCCTCAAAGAATAAAATTTGCTCTCTCTGCCTTACAGAATTATACCAGTTATTGTTACTGCAGCAAAAATTTTTTTTTTTACATTTTCCAATTCATTCATTCATTAATTTCATTGTTTGTTTGTCCCCAAATTAGCTCTATTCCTAACAGAAATTTACCATAGTACGTTATTTTTACTACTTTAAAATGATCATTATAATGTTTTTTAATGTTTATTTTATTATTGTTTTAATTTTTCTCAAATACTCAGATTAGCAGTCTCCCTTTACTGTAGTACTTTTTTATTATTTAAAAATTTTATTTTTCCGACAGAATAAGATTTTCTCCCTCCCTTACAGTTATTTATTCTACTGTAAAATTAAAATGTTGTTTATTTTTTATTTTCATTACTTTATTATTTTTATTTATTTACTAACTTTTTATTATTAATAGTAATAATAATAATAATCTAACTTAATTTATTTAAAACTAGTTAATTTATTTAAAACCCAGTTTAAGGCCTGTTCACCTGAAGAACTAACCAGGGCTGCGTTTCTCAAAAGCATCATAAGCCTTAGAAGATCGTACGACGGATCTTAGTATAACGGTCTGTTTCCCAAAAGCATCGTATCTTAAGTAGCACTTGAAAATCATTGCAGATCTACGAGTGCGCTGGAGTAATCGCAAAGCCCTCAGTGCATCGTAAGAAGACAGAGTTACCTTTAACTTTATCCAAGTGCATATGAGGCTTTAGTTGTACTTCTCTTTATTACTCTTTTTTGTTTAAAGGAATTTATGAAATAATTAAAAAGAAAAGGGAAGAAAATAAAAATACACATGATATCATAAATATGTATACATAGAACAGTGCTGATAAAACATTTCTGCAATAAACTTTTTTTGTCTGTACCTGTAGAAATGTATTGGCTAGATGAAGTACATATATTTGTGATACTATCACCCTTAATATATACACTTTATATATTAATAATATCTAAGCTTACATGTTTATGTTTGAAAATGACCATCAACCATTAGTTATTCACTTCAGAAACACTCATAAGAATTCTTATAGTATTTCATAGGGCTTTAGGCCTTGGGAGGTTAGGTAGGTTTTACTTCAAAAACGTCTGCAATCATTTCACATTGCACAATAAATGATAGAAACGTAACGAATCACCATAAAACAATCATATTATCTGACTGATCTGGCAAGAGAATTGGCACAGAAATGGAGGGCCTTGCAAGCCTCATCCTCCCATATGTTTTATTTTTCATTATTTGTATGGTGTCCTTTTAATCTGCTGAAAATGACATTTTTGTTTCGCTCCACCTCCTCCAGAAGAACATTAAGTTCATCTTTTAGAAAGTTTTTTTTCTTCTAATCCACATCAGGTGGTAAGGTAAGGTAATATTTCAGCACTTGACAAACGGACAGCGAAGAGCGTGTTCGTGTTAAAGGCATTTTTGGGAAACGCACGTGGAATTGCGGCGAGCGTTCGTAACCTCGCGCGTAGAGAACGCGCTTAAAGGGTTACTTCACCCAAAAATGAAAATTAGTCAATAAATTACTCACCCTCAAGTCATCCTAGGTGTATATGACTTTCTTCTTTCAGACGAATCCAGTCGGAGTTATATCAAAAATGGTCTTTGATCTTTCAAGCCGTTTAATGCCACTCAGCGGGTGTTGCATGCATCAGTCCAAAAGAAGTGAAATAAAAAGCGCCCATCCATAAAAAAAGTGTCTCACTCAGCTGCGGGGGGTGAACAAAGGCCTTCTGTAGCGAATCGATGCATTTTTGTAAGAAAAATATCCATATTCAGTGCGCAACACTGGACTCATACGTCACTGCTTCCAGTGTACAACAGTGAGCGCAAGCTACATTAACGTGATTATTATGCTTTGAATATGGATATTTGTCTTACAAAAACTCATAAATTCACTACAGAAGGCCTTTGTTCACCCCCCGGAGCCGTGTGAGACACTTTTTTTATGGATGTTTTTTTTATGGATTTTATTTCACTTCTTTTGGACTGATGCATGCAACGCACGCTGAGTGGCATTACACAGCTTGAAAGATCAAAGACCATTTTTAATATAACTCCGACTGGATTCGTCTGAAAGAAGAAAGTCATATACACCTGGGATGACTTGAGGGTGAGTAATTTATGGGCTAATTTTCATTTTTGGGTGAACTAACCCTTTAAGAACTAAGATCCATCGTTATTGGGAAACCCGGCCCAGAGAATCAAAGCAGAGCAGAGATGAAACCAAGAATAAAGGAAATAAATAAATAAATGTAGCACAAACAGATCTTCATCCCCTGTGTGAATAGATCCATAAGAACATATCATTTCAATCCAAGGCTTTAAATAGGTCTTCTTACTGCAGTATTTGTGCAGAAACTCTGGTATATTTCAGAAAGGGCTCTTTCATCCTCATGTTTATCTCGGTGAGTCAAAAGCCAAACCGCCCCTCAGGTTTTATTTGAGGTGATAAGGGTCCAAAAGCTTTCATCATACCACCATCATCATCAGCAGCAGCAGCAGAACACACACACACACACACACACTCCACAGAGCTTTGATTCGGTTGATTAGAGAAGCAATTTAACATCAGACGCTTTAAAAGCATCTCACGACGAGAGCAAAAACAAGAGAGCAAACAAATAACCAATGAAAGCAAAGAGAAAGAAACATCAGAGATTTATAAGCAGAAACAATAGATTTCAGTATATTTTCATTTATTTATTTTTTATTATTTGTTCCCTAAAATGACATTAGCTCTCTCTATCTTACAGAATTATTTGACAATAATACTATAAATTATTTTGTTTATTCTTTCTCCAAGAATAAGATTAGCTCTCTCTCCATTACAGATTTGCCATTATTGTTCCAACTGCAACTTATTTATTTAT